TTCAGGTATGCGCTGATTTTCTACTTGAAATAAAATCAAAGATGACCATTGTTTAAGCTTTGTTTCCAGTTTGCTGTTGACACTATTCTAATTGGCTATTGTAGGACGTTTTCCGTTGGGATTGTTTTTAACAATGGCGTGGTAACCACATTTTATTGTGATAACTCGTTATAACGTGTATTAAACATATATGTTTAAGAATACAATGACCTTTCTTGAAATTACTTACTTCGGTATCACTTAAATCAATAAATTAACCACCTCGTTTTCTTTTATACAATTACATTTATATACATCAATAAAATTATAATTATCAACCTTTAATGAAAAATAGTTATTAGGTTAAGTAAATAGACTAGTGGTAGTGGATTTAAACAAGAAAAAAACTTCTTGATTTTTATTTGTTCCGGAAATTATATCGGAATATATCTTAAAAACACATTACAGCACACACGTATTTAAGTGTTTTTCCTTGCCCATATTATGAAGAGTTTTTCCTGATTTTATTTCGTTTCGAGAGCAGTTAGTACATATTTCGCTTATGATCATTTTTTAATCACTTGAGTGTAATAAGTATCATAATCGTTTGAAAAGTATTTAGTATCGACTAATGATGATATTTTTACATCAAATTATTACGTACAACATTCTTATAATCTTCTAAAAAAATGTTAATGTTTCATTTTTAATTATAAAGTAAACTTTTTTTATATAGTTTTTAGTTTTTGAAGTAGTATGAAATAATATACATCAAATTTCTATGGTTAATGTATTAATATAACATAATAAGTATCCGTAGTGTAATATAAGTATCCATTACAATATTCCTATACGTTTAAAACCATAAATATTTATGAATGATTTTGTACTGAATATGATTGCATTTTAATAAGCATACTATACATATGACTAGACTAAATATTATAATAATAAAATATACCTGCCTACGTAATTATATATAAATATGTCTTATATTATTATAGGTATGCCTATAAATGGGAGTTAACGTTTGATTAGCCATCTAATTTCTGTTTATTTAAAGACGTATCATTATACACTTACATAACTAGTGCGTGTTTATGCCGAGTCTATCACATTGAAGTGCATATAACGGGAAAGCTTGCTAACCCCGTCAAGATTTACGACCAGATGCAATATTAGTTTTATAGCGTCATAAATTTAACTGGACAGAGAAGGGAAAAAACAAAGTACCGAGGGTTTTTCTCTTTATCGCGTTCACGCGTTAGGACACTAGAATTACAGTACCTGTTTTCACACGTTTCATTTATATATATATATATCTATATATATATTTAATAATAAAGGTACTTGCCACCTATATTTTCTGGATTGTTGTATACAATGAAAAATTGTATTTTATTACGAACAGCACGTTTGTAATGTTAATTGGTTTCCCGCAATATAAAAATAATTTCAGTTTCATTAAGAATCGTATATATTTTAATTTATACAGTATATACCTATTAGTTATAAACTAAATAATTTTAATTATGGTTTACTTATTGTTATATGATAAATGTATACAAATTAATGATCTATAACCCTGTAATACTATTGAAAATACGTAAAGTAAAATCAAAAAAGTTTCTACATATAATAACAATTCCCTAATCGTTGTCTTTATAGTAGTCGTAGATTCGATGTTAAAACAGGGGTTGAATTTTATGGCGTATACATCCGCCTTGGATGGATTTTTCCGTATAGTCTGTATTGCATCTTGATGGGATTTTTACGATCCCAGCTTTTACCTTGATGTAATAACCCGTGTTTTGATCGGTGAGTTCCTGTTACACGGTCGTAACGACAATAAATTTACCAGATAAATAAAAAGTAATGGGTGAATAATCATTGTTTACCTTTTAAATTGATAGTACGTTACTGCCGTCGTAACATAATATAATCGAATCATGTTTTATATATTTTTATACCTAAAGGAAATCCGTACACGTCTATAATAATAATAATGTTATTATTATACAAATCTTTTTCCCTCTCGTGTGCTGTGTAAAAACTCTATATACATTCATTTAGATTAAACCCGATATGGTATAATAATAAAAGGCATGCATGTAAAGCACGCGAAAACGGGTTTCGTCCGATTTGTGCGTTAACTCCGGAATTATTATAACATGCGAAATGGTGATGAGGTGCGCATAATATGCGTATATATAGGAGATAGCAATCCGGAGAGGGGTGCGGAAATTGCTTAGGAAAACTGCCTCGACAAGGGCGATTCTATGAATATGTGAATGACTCAACGACGCATCAATGCGGCCGCTAAGAGTCGTCCCTCTAAACTGCCTTCTAGCAGCAACATCACTATACTATTACATTGTAGTAAAAAAAACCTTTTTTCCATTTCTGTGTCGCTTATCCGGAAAGGAAATAGTCACCACGACTCCCCGAAGACCCTTTTCTTTTCCGCCGACCCCTTGTCGTTGTTTGTTATATTGGCTGAACGAAGAACGAAATAGCCCATCTACAACGCGCGTTGCGGTTTATACTCCTCAGGAAATCCTCGTGTGTTATAGTTGTTAAAGGAAATGACTTCTATCCTATCATAAAATATTTTTGCCCTTCTCATCGTTTAAATTTCTAAAAGCTATAATACATACGTTTCTTTAAATGACATCTATTTACGACGTGTATATTATATAGTAAAGTCAGTGTATAATTTAAGAGATTAAGTTTTAATTATTTAAATAATATTATTATTATTATTATCATAATAATTATAATAATAAAAATTCTGATGATTCAATCACATTTAAGCACGGTGGTTTTATGCACGCAATCAACCTGTTCTTTTCAACTTTGCCAAGCGATGGGTTCCCGCGGGTATACAACGGAAAATGTTTATCTCAGTGCTTTCACTGTCATGTTGTCTCTCTCAATTTCTCTGTTTCTCTTTCGCTCTCTCTATCTCACTTTGGTTTAAAGGGTCATGCAAGTGGCATTCGTAATAGGTCCTAAAACGGCGGGGGGATACACACCCCCGGGGGCCCCTAGAGGCTTCAATCGGGCTCCATTAAACATTCAGCGACCGTCGTGGATATTTGGGATTCAGTTAAAAATGGAACTACGTGCTCACAGGCCTATTTTTCGGAGTTTAATCTTCGTGCTTTATCAGCGGTTTCAAATGCACACTATTCTCCCCTTCTGTTTTTATTTTGGTAAATGACCCTCGGAATTAAATTTAGATGCACGCTTGTCGTATCAGTGTTTAAACAACAGTTCGGTGCAGGTTAAATTCGTATTAAAATATTATTGATGTATCGCTAGTTATTTATCCACCCGTATATAATATTGGATTAAATAAATAATTTTATATCAAAATCTAATTAATAGCAAATATTCTTAACTGTTTGGTTGAACTTATTGCAGTTTAATTACATAAATATTACCTTAATATTTAAGATTTTGAAATCTTATTTTTATACTGTTATATTACATTTATATAATTATCTATATCATGATAAAATAAATTCAAAAATGTATATATGTTTTTTTTTTAGTAATAAATTATTATTTGAATGTTCTGTTAAACTAATTTATTAACATCTACCAAGTGACAGTGCAAAATAACTACACGTTTCGAATAACTCTAAATCCATAATATTATATTACTTGTGTGCGTTGTGTTGGAAATATTGGTACCTTGTATGTTATTATCGATCGAATATTTGAATCACAGATTTGAGTTTTTGAGTTACACTATTATATATAGAGCTGTCGCACTGTAAAATATTCGTGCACATTCTTCCATCTATTTTTATACTCTTGTATATATATTTTCTTACCAATAGGGAAATATGTGAAAAGAGGAGAACCAATATTCCCATCGGTCTGTATAGGCAATGCTTTAATGCTTTTATTGCTTTTACAACGAGCTAAGGGGATAAAAAACCTCTTTCTCGATCGTTATTGGTCTCGTCTACCGACAAAAAGAGGGTATACATCACCTTATGAAAATGATAGAAAATTCATTCCTGGCATAATATCATATTGTGATTTTATTGCGGAATACCTACCTTCTATATGTGAACGTACGCCCTTTATGATACATAAAATATAATAACATCATACGAGTTTTATTTAGTAATTCAATATATCAATATCTAAATAAAAATTTGCTTGCACCAAAATCACTCACCGTAGTAGTGTAGACATAATAATAATAATAGTAATAACAATAATAAAATATTAATAATTGTCTCAACGGAATTGACTGCGTGCGATCTCGTTATACATTTTTGTTCTAAAAATAATTCACTCATAACTGTACACGCGTTACGTTTGATATATTGGATGTCACGTGCCGTTTGGGCGTTAATGGTTCTGTATACCATGGGATACGCCTACAAAGTCGAGAATAATTCTCGCGAACATCGATATGACGATGCAACGGAAATGGCAACGCTATACATTTTACAAAGAGGCGTTGATATTACTGATTTTTCCCTTCCTATTATTGTACGTGATGTTTTCAAGAATAATGGAGATGTCGTATAGAGCACGCGACCTCGACAACGCATCATTATACAACAAATAACATATCCTCTACCTCGAAGTCACTTGTCAAAAGTGGGCGGCTTAAAACGCCTCCGGATCCAATTGCAAACAGTTTTTTTCTTTATATATATAATTTGGTTCGAAACGTCATCGTGTCTGAGCTTATTTAAACACAGTTATAATACTATTATATTTTATACAAAAAAAAAAAAAAGGTTTGACGTATCATTAAATAATTACCATTGAACTCCACAAGTATAATAATATTAACTATATCGTTTTTAAAGAAATCGCACGCAAACACAAACCGATTTTTTAAACAGTTTAGGCTAACTGTACATGGATATAATGTAGACATAGGTACAGCGTTGAAATGTGTTCTGTGTATGGGTATATGTCAGATGTTTTTATAGAAAGGATTTCATTATATATACCGTTATCGAATAACTTAATATTTTTTTTTCCAGCATCCTTACCCATCAGAAGATCAGAAAAAACAACTTGCTCAAGACACCGGTCTGACTATACTTCAAGTCAACAATTGGTAAGTCGACATTATCTTTTCGATCGCTGTTAATATATATTAATGTGGCATACTTCAAAAACCATTACGATACAATTTGTGTTTTGTTTTTATAACTTGATTTCGACGTCGTCTCATCATTGTCTATTTTACGCGCATACACGTGTGTGTATTATATATTATATTATATTACGTTACACACAGATAAGCCTGATGTTCTCGCGTGCGCGTTTATGTGTATGTGTGTCTGTGTGTGTGTGTGTGTCCTTAATGGTTTTAAAACGCCAATCCACCATCAACCTGTAATTACGAAAGACCCTCTAATCTGAGTATGTATTAACAAAACGCTGAATCATCATTCACTTAAGAAAAAAAAAAGAACAACTGCTCTTCTATTCCAATTCTCTTGTCCGTACTATACATATTATCTAAAGCTATGCCTAAGAGTATCAAAACGTACATAAACGCGTATATAGAGTTTAGTCATTTCGGACGCATACCTTTCACGTATTTTATATTCGACACCATAACAAAAGAAACGCAGACGTTTTACCCTGCACTGGTTACATTATAATAATATATTTTACGTAGGTACCTACCTACAGAGAGAGAGAGAGAGGTTTAATAACCACTGTAAAATGCATATATTATTATGAAAATGTGTACTTGCAGTGTACCACCGCGGCTGGTACGAGTGGATATAATGATTGCAACTCTGTTTATTGTGATGGGCTTTCACTGCAATGAGTACGAGTTACGAGCATGTGTTGTATCAAAAACCATTAACCTAATGACATAATTCTTTTGGAAATAATACTCCGTATCGTTAATTTTGATATACATATTTATCAATATTGTACATCGGAATAATATTTTTATTTTATTTTATAATGATAAACGGGTTAGGGCCTTTTTGGAATTTTACAAATTATACACAATTCTATGATTACAATAACATACATAATAAAAATAAAAATAAATTACATATATGGTTATAGGTATATTAAGACATTAAAAATAGTTTTCACGAAAACCGCAATAATACTCAATAGTTATCGTTTTCTACGTTTGTTATTAACGCGCGACGCCGTGAACTCCGATATCACAATAGCGACTTAGCGGTGTAATAGAACATAATATAATATTATTATTTATTATCGGCGCCGATATGCATTTTACATTGTTTCTGCGAATGTCCGGAGAAATAATTTTAATCCCCCGGCTTGGAGTTTCGTCACGGCAACTCAAGGATGATGTAGTTTCCGAAGTTTGGATTCTGGAACTTTCGGGATTATATCCAGTAACCCCGGGAAAACGGGTGCCCGTGTAATGTACGCGCCGCGCCGTGTACGCGCGTATACACCATAAACACCGGTGGCGGGAAGACTGCTCTGCCTGGCGGGGGTTGCGGTGCTCCGGGAGGAGAGGGCGGGCAGCGCTGCGCCGCTGTGCACGGGGTTGCGGGCAAGTGGGTGTGGGTGTACAAAGCGTATATACGCCGGGAGTAGTGTGTATTCGGCGAAATTAGAACGGGTCTGACTGTTATAATTACAAACATTCATCAGAGTGTCGGGACGACCCCCGACGTGAAATTCCGCTGGAACGGACGGAGAGAGCGTGTGTGCACGAGCGAGCGAGTAGTCGAAGGGGACGGGGACGGAGAGCGAGCGATTGCCGCGGCTTTTATGCGCACGCCGGCGGGGGTGCAGCGGGTGGACGGCGCCATGTTGTTTCGGTGGTGCGTGCGCTTTTCTTCGCTTTCGGTTTTCTCCACCTCGCGTTACAGTTACATTTCGTGTGTGTCTACACACACACACACACACACACACATACACACACATACACATGTATAAATATAATATGTGTATTGTACGAGTCGTACTCTACGCATATGTAATATATTCGGGAATGTCGAGTGCGACGAATTTTTACATTTTCACTCGGAATTAACGTTTTTGGTATATATATATACGTATATTGTATACTTAATGGTGAATGCGGTACGCTCTAATCGCTCACTCGCTAACATTTATACATCAACCATGTACCTCGTATAGTTCTATATATATATATATATATTGTCGGTGTGCCCCTCATTATATAAATGGTATACCGTCCGTCGTACCATCATTAGATACACAGTTCGTCCGACCGGTTAAATAACTGAACGATTATTCGTGTTACGAAATCGACTTAACTAAAACCGATTATAACACGTAGATAGATATTATTATGGTGTGATAGGTCTCAGATATAAAGTCTCATCGTTGTATACTATATTTAATGAGATTTTTTTTTTTTCTTGTACAGTCGTTCCGCGTACGACAATCGCATAAATAATATGTATAATTATTGTAGTGAGACTGAAACGGTGATTACAAAAGAATAAAAAAAAAAAAAATACCCAAAATATATCGAGTTCGTTTTACGTTTGGTCGTCGTATACGTATAACATGTGAACGGCCGGCATGTGGTGACCGCTGCAGCGGACACTTGAGCTTAGGTAATTTTTTCACCGCCCGGTCGTAAATCAACGCTCGAGGTACCTAACGTGGACTAAATGTCTCAAACAGCCGATCCGGCAAATTGACTCTTGATTGAGATTTGATGGTGCGCAATAAAACGCGCGCGTGTTCGACGGGAACGCCGTGAAAATCCGAGAGACCCGGACCGTTACAGTAAGACATAAAAATCCAGCAAAGGCCAATAAAACGGCCGCCGGCGCAGTCCTGCAGTGCGGCGGTATGCGGTACGCGTACATGTACTTATATATATATATACACACCACACACGTGTGTATTGAAATAGTCACCGCTGCTCGTATCCAATTTTCGATGTTGAAATTTACGTAAAATATTCAACACTAATTCAAAAGGTCATTTTCCAACGTTTTCATATCTATGGCAGGCACTTGCCCAAAAGTTCGATAAGTTGAAAATATGTATTATTGTACACGCATAATTTTTTTTCTACATAATACTTCTGTTGTATCTATATGATATGTATCGAAATCATTTGTAAGCTTAATATGACTTGCGTTCATACATTTCATCAGAAAAAAGCAATAGTTGGCATTACCTAATAAAGTTAATACAAAATTTAATTATAACAACTTAGATTTTACCAGTTAATTTTAAAAATTATCTATTACGTTAAAATCATGTTCATATTCATACATAACAAATTGTATAGTTAAAGTTAAAATTAATAGTTAGTTATTTTTTATTTAACGACTGTGTATACAAATGTGTGTGTGTGTGTGAAATGTAGATTGTTATAAAATACAAAATACGTATAAATAATAATAATAATAATAATTTAATAATTTAGTTGACACAAATATGCCTAAACTTTTAGTGCTATATATAGTGTATTGTAATAAGAAGGAATTTTATAAGATGCATTTTTAACAACATTTTTACTAATTTTATTATCAAAAGTAAACTGAAGTAGTCAGACTACTATATGTGTGTAATAAAGGTAGAAATTAAAAAAAAATAATTATAACTTCTTTTTAAATGACATAAGTTAATATTTTATTTCATTATAAGTTTAAACTTTTAAAATTAAATATATTGTTTGTTCTCTAATAACTTACAGTTTAATTTTGTTAACTAACTAATTATGTTTTTCATTTACTTACTCATCTTTGAGGAAAATTATTATGCTTATTTTTAGACACGTCGTCTTTATTTTAGTATAAAACATATTATGGTATAAAACACTTTAATAATGAAAGGAAATGGGTATTTTTTCTGTCATTATTATTATTATTATTATTTGCTAACATGCGTGGGGTGTTAGTAACGAAATTTTTTACTTGGTTTGATATTATATTACGCGCGCGGTGCTCACAGCAGGTCGAAACACCCTATCGAAAAAATTTTCACGTCCCGTTTGCATTGGGTCCCGTCGACCGGAGATTAAATGATTTACTATGGCCCCAAACAGAGAGGGCGCCGCAAAACGTTAATGACGGCGGTAAGCTTTTCTTTACGCTTGGCCGACCTCGGGGCTGAGAAAAAAAATGTACTCACTCACACAGACACACACATACATATATAAAATTTATATATTATACATTTTTATACACAGATCCTCATGGGAAAATGTACAACGGTTTCTTTTCTATAAATATATATATGTGATGCATGCGTGTATATGTGTATAGGAAACATATATATAAAAAATATAACGACAACTTTTAGTTATTACGCGACAACCGCGTTATATTGTGCGACGTATATAGGAATGGCGGCGTGCGAATCGAAGGAAAAATAACACTGTCAGAACCTAGGGTCGTTGGAGGTACAGACATGAGTGGTGGTAGTGTGGTGGATGAGAGAGAAAAAAAGTATAGTGTAGCACGCGTATAATTTCAGGACTGGAATTCTTCCGTCCCGTGGGCCTTACGGTGCGCGTACTACACCTACCCCGCCCGCCACCGCACACACGCGCTCGTGCCCGCGTAAATGATGATGACAATCCATTTTTTACAGAAAGTGATAAAAACCACCCTGGCAATTCCCCGAAGGCTAACGAGGGGACACGGACGATAACGCCGCCCGCGCCACCGTTACCGCTGCAACAGTGTATACTTCTAGAAACTGCTAAAAATGAACTGGCTCGCTGGGTGTGCATATATATATATATATATATATTATAGAAAAAGAGAGAGAGAGAGAGAGAGAAAGAAAGAGAGATAGACCCTAACTTACTGCTGCTGTAGGTCGATCTATCGGTTTTTAAAACGCCAGGTCATCAACACGAAGACAGATGCAGACCCGTATTATATACATTATTATATATTATAGACACTTTTTGGGCTCGTTTCCCCTTTCACTTTTTAGTATTATTATTGTTATTTTGAGCACATAGAGTAACTCGGACATAGCTATCATCTTATGATGATTTTATTAAACGTTATTTCAATTAATATACACTTAATACCTTTGAGAAAGAATATACAATTTTGAATTCGTTGTGATGTAAACAATAATACTAGTAGTATATATTGCATA